AGTGTACTCTGAAGCTTGGCCTAGAAAGCACGCACGTCAGTGCGTCTACTACCATTCACTACGTGTATGCACGTACAATCAATGTATGGACCCGGCTATCGAAAAAAGAAAGAAAAAAAGACAGCCAGCGAACGCGCACGCACCCAAAGTTCGTACTACGCGCTGATTTTATTCAAATCACACTTGAAAATAGTTCGTCTTCGCGAAAGTTCGCCATACAGGAGTTCGTCGTAAACGAATAATTTTGACTGGATATGATGCCTGGCCAACCATAGGATTGGCTCTAGTTCGTACTAATGGAAAGTTCGCCTTATCAGTGTTCGTCCTAACGAGGTTTGACTGTACAGTAAAAACCTGTAACTAAAGACCACCGTGACTAGCGACCAGCCTGGTACTACCGACCACTTCACCAGGCACGGACGGTCTCACATTCAAAATACACTGTGACTAGCCACTACCTGCTGAACGCGACCAGCGACCGCCTTTTCTTGTCCCAAAGACGATTTTTGACCCGTAACTAGCGACCGCGATGTAGGAGATCAAATGTTGCTCGAAGCTCCTTCTTGAAATGTTGCTGATTTTCCATGGTCCTGAAAGGAATCTTTCGATAGTACAGCTGAACAAATGAACGCAGATCATTTTGACGGTGGAGTTCGAGTCGGTGTGGACTGCACTACGCCTGTCAAAATAATTTCAAGCCCTGTCAAGAATAAACATGATAGGAAACGTCTTGGAGAGCGCATCGGAAGCGCTCTCTGATCGATGTTACTACTCGGAGGAGAAACGAAGACTGAGCGGCTCTGTCACCCCAGTCATACAGACGAATCGACGATTGCATCAAGGAATCCATAAACAAAGCAGCACTGCAAGGTCCTGATGCTGACGGATCGCGTTCAAGCAATCGAGAAGTCCGCACAACAAGGACCGTGAGTCAGTACGATTGATTGCATGAACAAATTTTAAGCCCAGTGCAAAACGAAACTTCCACAGGGAACATTAGACTTCTGGCTTCAGAAGTAGCAGCTGAATTTGATGTCTGCAAAAAATTAATCTTTTCTCCGTCTCTCTGTCTCTCCCCATCTCTCCGTCTTTCTCTCCAAATGTTGTTTGACCTAAAATAAGAATGGTATTGCGCAAGTCCTGGGGAATTGTATTGGCTGTGTTTTGACATAAATATCATATAATGGGATCCATATATGGTCACCCAGTGCAAACCTCTAACTAAAGACCACCTGCTACTAAAGACTGCTTTTGCTGGCACCAAGGGGTGGTCGCTAGTCACAGGTTTTCATGTACTACAGTCTATGCACAGTTGAGTCACCGTGTATACATTGGCATGCTGTGCTTGGTGACATCCTAGCCTGGTCGTTCTTCGGCGCCCGACAGTACTGTAGTCATTGCTGTGTCAGTGCTGAGAACAAGGGAAATTGCACAATGGTAGTAAGACTGGGGTGAAATAGACCGGCAGTAGGAGCAATGTGCCGACCTCCTGAGGACTGCTCTTCGGACCAAAGGTCTCAGGGCGACGAGCTATTCAAAGGTTTGCTAGCCTCCATCACTTGTCAACACATGTACCAAAGATGCTCAATCTGCGGAGAGACCAAAGATAGAGACTGATCGCGTTACTGTACAGCCCTTTTATTCCTTCCTCACATGCTACTACACCTGCTGAAAGTCCTTGATGCACTGGAAATCCAGCGTTTTTTTATTCGTTTGGAGAGTTGTGTGCTCTGCATGCTGTCTCGCAGACAGGAAGATGAATGTAGTTATGTACGCACTAGCGTCATTCGTACTGGCAAGAGTCGATTGCCCTGACATGGATGTGTGTGTGTGTCTGCATGTTCGTGGCTCTGTTCGTGACTCTGTTCGCCGTTGTATAGATCCCGACAAGTTTATTCTGCAGCCATGTGTTGGGCGGCGGTAACTGGGGCAATGTGGTCATGTGGCTGTCGCTCATCCTTGGCCAGCCCATCGCCGCCCTGATGTATGTGCATGACTATCTAATCTTGCAAGGCCTGCTGGGACCTAATGCCGCTGTGAACAGCTCTGATCCAGGTGCTACCAGCTAGCGTCTTGCTTCTCAACACTTGCCTATGGTCTCTTTTCAATTTTACAACTTTAGTCAATCGATTTTTACTACTTGCACGGTGCCTCGTATGAATACTGTCAAACGATTTTATATTTTCAGTCTAGAATTACTCCTGATCTGTGTTGCTTGATGTTGGCGTGTCTGGCCGTCCGTGTGTTAGTTATAGTGTTCACGGCCTTTTGTGCTTTCTCTGTCTGCCGTCCTGACCTAACTAGTTAGCCACCCGTTACCAGTTGTCAGCCCCGCCGCATGCTTTTCTTTGCATCATCTCTTAGCTCTGTTCTTCCAGAGGTTGTCTCTGTCAGCCCAGCTACATTGTACGGTCACAGTTCTCTCTGATGCATCTATATTAAATTTTTGTTATAGATGCACCAAGCCAGGGTGTGCTACAACAGCACTCCAGTACTACGATGACTTGTCATGTTGTTGTCGCTACATGTATGTTCCTGAAGACGGGCCTGGCCCGAAAATTCGGATATTGAATTTAGTTTAAAACAAAAAATAATAATGCCCAAACCAAGCGACTAAAACCAAAATACACGATGCCATTAGTGTAGCCCAGAGACCGCTTTGTATTGCAGCTTCTGCTATGCTGTCATCACCATCATACAAGAGATTGTACCCGTGCTGGTGGTGAACTATCAAGCAAGGCTTACCAGTCTACCACTGGTCTGCCCAAGTACTGTACAGTGAGAAACCTTCGCTAGAGATTAAATTTCGCTATTTTCGCGACCTTCACACATTCGCGACTACAAATCGCCGCAAACCTCTCCGTACATTGACTGTAGACAGTACAAGATCCGACTGAAGAGATTGAATCGCAAACGTTTCTCATCGTGAACCTGCCCGATTTATGAAAACGCTAAATTTGCACGCCGCGAAAGTGTGTCGCTTCACAGTAGACCATGGTAGACTGCAGACCACCCAGTACTGCAGTGCGTTCGATGCCGACGTCTCTCGCCTGCAAACCAAGACTAGAGGATCGACCGTGGTACGATCGATTATACTGTGAGCGACTCCCTGGATTATAGCAACCATACTGTACTCTTAGACCTACAGTACATGTACCGGTATCTTACAGAGGCTTACACAGGCAGTGCATGTGTGCTGCAAATGGAGGGGTATGTTTGGGATTGGGTACTTCAAGGCCTCGTAGTTTCTCCGTTCTAGTGGAATCAGCCCTACATGTGCCCTCGTAAATAGCACGCTGAAAACCAATAATACCAAGAGTACATTATGTACTCTTGATAATACCAACCAGCCATGCATGCATCACATGCACAGGGATAATTAAAATGCATTCCGGCAATATCTGGAAAAACAAGAACATTACATTATTTTGTAAGTAATAATTATTCAACAACCACACACTCTGCACACAGCCCCCTGCCTAAAACATCACCGCTACTGCGCTAGCCCCCACAGTCTCACACAGCTTTTTATACCACCCTCTCCTGGCATATATACCGGCATGGTCGGCACCCGATCTTCATGTTGCCTGATGATTGCGTAAGCATGAAACTTAAAGTAGCAGCAAACAAACCTTGATTGTCCTTGTTGTTCTGTTGTGTATTACGCTCTGCCTTTGTGGTGTTGAGCACTGTCAAGCACTCTGGGTACATCCTTCGGTAAGTAATAATTAGTTAGTTTGAGCCCCCCCCCCCCCCCCTCATGGGTACGCCCCTAAGGGCCTGGGTAAACCCCCAACATGAAGTACATACGTATACATGTATAATAAATGTAGAGCCGAAGGATTTATTGCAATTACATACCAGTATAAAAACCGAGGTCCCCCGAGGTTTTTATAACTGGTATGTAATTGCAATAAATCCTGAGGCTACTACATTTATTATACATATCATATGTTGACCTTCGCTTTCCCTAAAAAGGAGTATTTTATAAACAGTATTTATTGGCCTTAGTGGTATTTTATAAACAGTATTAAATTTTATTGGCCCAAAAGCCAATAAATACTGTTTATAAAATACCACTAAGGCCAATAAATACTGTTTATAAAATACTCCTTTTTAGGGAAAAGTGCAGTGCTGCATGGAAAAGTACAGTGGTATTTATTGAGTCGAGCACGTTTATTTGAATTTGATACTGTTGATGGTGTGGTCACTAATGAGTGTGGGTATTTATCAAAGGTCAATATATAATTATGTACATACACATACAGAAGTCGGCCGTACTGGCCGAAATGAAAAAAATGTAGACCTACCCGCGCTGCTGCTACTGTGCTAGCATGCTAGGCATACACCGCGGTACCGGTAGGCGCAATACACATACTAGTACCGGCAAGAGTCTTGATACCGGTACAACTACAAGGAAAATGCGACAATCGTCGTTGAATCGAGTCGTAGATCTATGATCAAGAGTAGATCTACGAGTACTCTTGGTATGATCGTAGGTCTACACTGCTCCTGGCCATACCGCGTCCCAGAGCAAAGCTTCCCGGGGCCAGGCTTGAAGAAACGAGAGATCGTGCTTTTTCAGAGAAAACTGATTTCGGTAAGGTTCATACTCATAGCCTAGATAGGCATTGTAAGTGGTTTAGCGCTGCACTCCTTCGACCTTGGCTTGGGTGATGTCTCAGCAACTGTCGTGTGTGTCTTGTGGTAGCAATACCAGGCGTTTGAAGTTAGTGTCTTGCCTCCACCCGGTGTGCGTGGCATGTTTGGAGCCGCGCGTCCAGTTTGACGGATCCGTACAATGTCCGAAATGCTCTATCAACACCTCGATGCTAGCAGCCGGTTCGTCCTTGGTTGCCATACTGCCTGACAGCCACCCGAAAAGGTCTAAGAACGAGGCGACAACAGCGTCCGCCGCGATGTGCGATGATTGTGCTGAGGATGAGTCCGCCACAGGCAGTTGTGCAGACTGTGGCATGAATTTGTGCGATGTACATGCCGCCGGTCACCCTCGCAGTCGTAGCAGCCACAATCACAGAGTGGTGCCGTTATCCGATGGACAAGAGGAGACTGCCACTGCTAGTATGGACCCGTGTTCGACTCGGCACTATTGTGGCATTCATCCCAGGCAAGTGCTGAGTAAATACTGTGTTCAGTGTGAGCAAGTGACATGCCAGCGATGCTTGGACACCGGTGCTCACCGCGGCGATGGCGGCGATACTCAGCACCAGCTGCTTTCCATTGAGGAAGCAGCACAGAATATGCGTGACGCGGTCAACCAGAACATATGCAGCTGTGTGTCGGATTCTGATGGAGTGATCCACACCGCATTGGAGAAAGTCCAGCATGAGATGAGCAATCTGTATGATGATACAGAGTTTGCATCAAAGGAGATTACGGATCACTTTCACTATCTGAGGGAGTTACTGGACGCTAGAGAGAAGGTACTACTGGAGGAGGTGGACCAGCGGAGGAACAGCAAACTTGTGGAGCTGGAAGCTCAAATTGCTCGGCTACAAGATGGTCTTCGCCATGGGCAGGCTGTGTCAGAAATATCGCAGTCCTGCGCTGACGACACTGACTTCTTAAAGATGGCACGCTGGCTGAACAGTGCCATTAGTCAGAGAAAGGATTTGACGAGGAACGACGGGGAGCCATGTTGCAGAAGTCAGATTGTTTTTTGTACTGTCAATGTGGAAGATGCTGCAGAAGCCATTAAGAAAGTAGGCGCTGTGCAGGACTTCATCACCTTCTTTGGAAAAGATGCCACTCTTTCTGTTGAAGATGCCTACGTGGACGCTGACTTGAAGATTGTGGAAAACTTAAGGGCGCCACTGAGAGTTTCAGAAGATTTCATCGCTCACCTTGGTCTCCAGATTTCTGTTCATCGCGAGGACAATGAGGAAGTACCCACCACACCACTGCAGCAAGTTGCACCTGATCGACTTGTGTCCAAGTGCGTGCGACTTACTGCCACTGGCAAGCTGACTGTGTCCGTGCAGCACAGAGACCAACACTTGCAAGGCAGTCCGATGCTGCTCAATGTCACTCACTACACACCAACGTTTGACGAGAAACGTTGTTATCACGGAATTCGTACAAATATTTCAAACTCTGGTCGCACGGTTTGTAGGAGAATCCATTATGGTTACAACCAAGACGCATACGCTCGGTCGGTGTGTACTTCAGGCATCCCAGCCAGGTACGGTACTAGCACTATCAGGCTTAGGTTGGACGGGTACACATCTGGGTCTACGGACTTCTATATGGGTCTTTGTTTATCCACTAAGCCTCGACTGGACGGGTTACATTGCGTTCCTGGAGAGATATGTGGATGGTGGATTTATGAAGCACAGCAGCGAAGTTGGCAGCAGGGTGATGTCGTGTGCTTAGAGCTCAATCACGATGAGAACACGTTGGCCTGCTTCGATGAGCATACCAGAACCAGGTTAGTCCAGGAGATAGGCCATGCAACCAGTAGCCTCTGCTGGTACTTCACGCTGGATAACCCAAGCACGGCTAGCAATCAGTTGCAATTGACAATTCTGTAGGTCACCCCTCTCTGTCAGTACAAGCACTTTGTGAAGATCTGTAACTTCACCAATAGTATGCATAGCAGTATTTTGCATAGTGTTCTACTTCAAGTATGGTTATCAATGCCTGCGATCTTCAGTCCCTTTGGCGACGGCTTGGTATATTACTGATCTGAAAGTTTTGTTAAGGCGGATTCTTGTCCATCAGCTGACAAGGACTTAATGCATCATTCCTAATATCCGGCGATTGCTGATGTGTATATGCATTACGCGGCACTGCTCTTCAGTCTTCACCATACACTGCAGTCTGGTATGCCCATGTTTACCCCTGGCTATTCCCAGTCATGATTTGGCTGCACGGCCGCATGCAACCCACCAGTCATGCTTGTCCAGTCGCAACATAACATTCTATCACACAATTATAGCTTTGTTCCATTGCCAACTTGTATCATTTGGCTCTGGCCTCATGGTATCGAGAATTCTTAAAAAATTAATACTGAATACAAAACCGGGCGCCTTTTCAAGCATTTAGCGACCTAGCTTTTCACATTCTATCACAACTTGATATTCTGTTTATCTGATTAGTATTCCCTGCTCAGCCTGACACACTGTGAAAAAAACTCTAGCTGTGATCTGGCCAGTAACAGACATAATCATGTGATCCGCGACGATCAGTATTCTGTCATAGTATATCATGCTGCTATCTCCGTGGAGAGCGCTCTCCAAGCTGCAGGAGATAGACTAACTTGGCTTGACACTGTTGACAGATGCGTCGACTCTGCTCCTGTCTAACAGGTTCAGGGAAGATGCGAGCTGTGTGTATTATTATTATTATTATTATTGCAATTTCAAATTTGGACTTCACGGAGAATTTCAAAGTTTTAGGAAATTAGAGGCCACATGCCACGTACTGCTCTTTTCTCTCCGAAACTCAACACTTGCAAGCCAGATATGAAAGAAAGAAAAA